AGCGTGAGCATCCGGTCCCTTCCTTCGGGACAGTCTGGCTCTGCCGTGGGTTTTGGGCATCCAGTCTCCCTTGGTGGAGACAGTCCGGCACTGCTCCCCTGCCCTACCTTCTCGCGCTTTGCACCGCACTGGCTCTCGGCACCCGGCACCGCCCGGCTCTGCCCTCCACAAGTCGCCGTTGTTGAGGAGCACACGACTTCAATACCTTCAGGGTTTGGTTTAGGAGCCGTGCGGCTTCCGGTACCTCTCGTTGTCCAAGTCATCCGGTACCTCCCGTTCTCCTGGCCTGCTCTGACCCTCCCGTTTGGGGTCCTGCTCGAAATGCTCGACATTCACATGGTGTGCTGCTCGAACTTCGGGTGGGTTGCTCGGAATTGCACCTTTCTGCTCGAAATTCCCTTCTTGGGGAAGACGATGCCTGCTCGGGATTCGGGTTGGTTGCTCGGAACCCGCTTTGACAAGTTCATTCTTGGGGGTTGGCATGCAAAACACCGAGAAGCGGAGGCCTCCAGCACTCCCCGGCCACACCTGGTGATACCTGGTGGGCCGTCCACCCAGCTCACCTCGGCGATCTGTCCGCCGCCCGACAGGCCTTGCTGGCGAGTCCACTCGCTCCGGGCGATGACGCCACACTCGCAGAACTGCGGGACCTCGCTCGGCGGCCCACAGAACCGTATGCCCCGCCTGAGCCGTTGGGCATCGAATGGTCCCTGCCAACACCAGTTGAGGCCTGCACAGCGGAGACTTTAGTTTTCTGCTGACGATGTCGTGGAATACTCGTTGACAGCCACGCCGACCTGCAACGTGCATTGGGTGCACGGGCCATGGCGGTTCAATTTCGGCGTGGGGTCTTCCAAGTCCACAATCATGATCTTCAGCCGCGGCCGCCGTTTTCGCGCGCCCACCTTTTTTTGGTGGGTCAGGTTGATATTGACCAGTTGTTTGTTTTGGACGGGTTCGGCTGATCTTCTCTTATTTTACTTAGTGGAACGCATTTGTCAAACTTATGCGCACCCATCAGTTACATTTCTGTGGAAGCTAGTTTTGCAGGCCCGCGAATAACAGGTTTACAGAAACGTGTGATTCAATGGGGGCGCAGCCTGTTTGGCTGTCCAAGCGGTTCCCCAAGTTTGGCGGTTCAAGGGGAACTTGCTTGGCCGGATGCTGATACCACTCGGCTGTCTCAAACTGCTGGACTGTGGACTCGCCTTCTCAATATGCCGCCTTGGGTGGTTTGCAGGGCGCCTCGCCCTCCTTGCCTACCGCGTTCGCCCACTCTTTCAGTTTTTTAGTGTCCACCGCGGTTGTGCACCAGGCTTGATGCAGCAGATGTTGCGTCACGCCCGGTTGATCTTGGTGGACAAGTTTCGTGGGCCATGTTGCCGTTTTACACTAGGATTCCGCAAGCCTACACCCCTACTTCCTTGGCAAGTTGTGCCGCAATTGCACCCCATTGTGCAACACACATTCCAACCATGCAAATGATTTCTTCCATGACTTCGCCGCTGGGCGATTCGGTCTGATGTACTGTTGAAGTCAGCAATTGATGTGCACAGGCTTGGCTTGGCCTCAATCTGCCCCATGCGTTTCATTACCATCTCTTTCGTGCAGTGCTGACTATGTATGTGGCGTTTTGCTTCTGACAAGTGTTATCACGTTCGCCATTGTGCGCATGTCCCAGAATAGCGGGAGGCCACCGGCAATCTAAGTTTGCTTCCTGGGCACATCTGAACTATTTTGAACTAGGCCCGAAGCCAACTCACAGCTCTGGAACCAAAATGGCCTCGACACGTACACTGGCCAGGCCTCACGCGCGCGCAAGCGGTAGGACGTCTGACGAACCTGCGAACAGATCATGGAGAACGGGCAGACCGACCCATGGACACTGCTGGTGCTGCCTGCGACTACCCAAAGAGGCTTGAAGCAAAGGCGCGAGCGCGCACAATGGATAAAATGTACTAAAATATGATAAAATGTAAGACCATCGGAGCACGAGAAAGCGTCGGTGTAGCCTGAGCGCAGCACGACCCCAAAGCCTGCCAACATGCGCCAATAGGTGGATGAATTTGAAACGGTTAATTCAGGGCACACGCGCTACCACGCGCCCATTGCCCTGCCGGGCACCTCGGAGTTCGCTTCGCGGCAAAGCGTGTCGGGCCCGTTCCAGAGTCCCGTCGTGAGAGCGCAAAGTACAGGCAGCCAAATGGTCACATAGGTCGCTCACGGCGTCCAGACCGTGACAGCGGCAGGCTGCATGCGCAAGTGACAGGCGGCAGGGTCATACGCCAGGGAAAGGGTCGGTACCAGGCAAACCTTCTGCTAGACAGGGCGGACTGTAGAGACACGCGCAGCATACGGGCCAGCTTGCTTGGAGAGTCAAGCGCGGCACCTTTCAGGGCACGCTTATGATTCTCTCGCTCCCAAAGCATGCATGATTTCCGGAGCCCTGTATCTGTACATGCAGATCCCGGTAGCCGATAATTTATGTCTCTCATAGTGCAGCATTACACCCTTTACTCATGCATACACATACGGCCTTATGCTGTAATTAGCCTTGCCATTTCTGACGTGACCCATGGTCTATGTCAGACCGGACTCTCCTCTCCACTCCCCACTCTGGTGGAAGCGGATCCCCCCTTCCCTTGGGGCATCACTTTGCCCCAGACCGGTTAAATTGTGCTAGAGCTCGTTGGTTGGCTCAAGTGTTGCTTGGAAGCCTGGCCCAGACCAAGCCCGGACAAACATCATCAACCAAGCACAGAGCCCTCCCCCTGAGTAAAAAAGAGAGGAGCTCTATGTATGGGCCCACATCATACAGCTTCACCATCAACACCCACAGTACACTTACCATGGCATACCATGGCCTGCAAATGCAACCCAGCACACCCACCCCAACCCTCGTAAGCCGACAAATTGTGAACACACACCCCTACGAACTGAAAAAATGAATACCTTCACAAGAACACTCCGAATTTCAGGCCGCGGACAAGCCTGGATGGGCGCAAACTAACGTCATGTTACGGCACGTGACCTCAAACCAAAAATATGGTGTAGCTTCACAACACATCCCCTCCAACACCATCCTATTGCAGCCATCGCCCACCCTCTTTCCTCTGCAGCCCACCTGACTGCTGGCCTCAAGCAAGGCTGGACGAACATCAACCAAGTACACCCCCCCCCCCCTACTGAGAGCGAAAAACAAGGCTAGCTTTATGGACCGACATCCGGGTATTATGTTAACAGAACGGCTGTGCTTCGATCCTCTGAAATATCAATCAAATACACCCGCTTCCGCCTTAAAGCGAAAACTTCGGATAGCCTTGTGAACCAAGATCCCAGTATTGCGGCAGTGCGGCCTCTGAACCACCCCACCTGCCCACCTTCAAGCAAAAACTTGCGCGTTGCCGTGTCAAAAGTGTCAACAGGCACGGGGATGAGGTCCCTAAACTCTGCCATCCTCATGTCTGTCATCCCGCTTTTGGACCGTCGTGTCTTCGTCAAAGTGGAATGGAAAGGTGATTGGAGAGCGAGCTGAGTGGAGCTCAGAGTGCAGCGGAGAAGGATAACTGTGGAGAGTGGAGTGGGGAGTGGACCGCAGAGTGGCGCGGAGTGGAGAGTGAAGTGAAAAAAGGCATGGATGGTGGAGAGGAGAATGGAGCGTGGACAGTGGAGTGTGGCGAGCGTAGAAAAAGCAAACGGGAAGTGGAATTGAGAGTGGAGTGGAGAGTGGAAGGATCGGTTTGGCCCCCGGGAGTCGTCTTAGATGAGGTTTTAGAGACCTTCTGGAAAGGTTTTAGAGGCCCCTTTGCAAGGGCCTCCATACATGTGGCAGTGGGCAAACCGAATAGCAAGTCAGGAGCACCTGAAACCGTCGGGCGTTGAGAGATGCCCGGTGATGCCGAGCCCCAAACTTATTTGTGGCGCGTGTTTTCACTACGCGGCGGCTGAAAAGCAACTGCATGCTTCCCTTAGGTCATTCTTCTCGCGGGGCTTTTGCCATTCTGGTCTAAATATCCTTCTTCGCCCGACCTCGCGCCGGCTTGCGCTGACATGATGTCTGCTTAGCTTGAAATCTTATACCATATTGCATCTAGGGGCTGGTCAAACATTGCGCGACATCTCTGCACTGGCGCCACCCGGGTGTGATGCTTCTGAACCCCAAAGGTCATACTTGCTGGTTAGCTTGTGTAAAGAATGACCGAAAACCGCGGCCTAACACGTGACCATGAATTCTGCCAACATCCTGAATCCCACAGGTCGCCGCACCCTTTTTGTCTGCGGTCATTCCCAAAAGTGGACGTCTTGCTTTGGACCGCCGATCTTCAGCTGCCGCGCCGCTTCTTCCAGGGAAGAGACGGTCTGCTTGAGCTTGCCTTAGCAAGGGATTCTACCACCTATTAGTATCATTACTATAATACGATTCTTCTTCTTTCTATTATGGCTCTCATTCCTATTCTTGTTAGTAGTAGTAAGAATCTTATTCAGGAGTTGACGCTTTGTAAGTCTTGATAGCTTTGTTCATCCTCGGCTTCACAGGAAGACTAACACCATCTGCGCCACCAGCAGGGCAGTGGTAATTACCAAGAAGGCAAAGAATGACAGCAGGGTGTTCATGGGATGCCCGTCATGCTACTCACTGCCATAGCAACAAGCAGCAGGAGATTGCCATAAACACGTGACAAATGGTGCATCAAGAGACGACTTCCATCAGTTTGCGAACGGGCGGAATTTTAGTCATGACGGACATGCCAGATAGGATACAGCTATAGCTTGATGCTGCAGAGACCCCTAGGAAACTCACGTCTTCCTCGGGTTGACAGCTTTGCCTGGTCCACTGTGCAACTGTGGCAGCACGCAACGGGAGCTGCAGCCACTCTTTCACTACATGCTGTAGTTGCATGCGAACAAGATCTGCAAAAATGCGTGATCCTTGATGAACTCAAACTGTTGAAGGTAAAGCTTAGCTTGCGCACAGCATTTGATTGACAGGCTTTTTGTGGTCAGGTTCCGAGATCGTCGAACTCATGCGCCTTGGCCAGATCCTGATAGAACTCAAAAGCATGCTGGCACTCTGGTGTCCCGTTCTTGAAAAAGGCTTCAAGACCTACAGCGACTGCCTTTACAAAGCGTCGAAAATGGCCTGGAGCTTTGTCTGGCCGTACAAGTAAGCGCAACTCGGAGCACAAAGGTAGATCGCGGTCGAGGGCGCCATGGTCAAAGAGATAGTCTTCAATTTCAAAAATCAAGTGGTCTTGCTCAATGCCTGGCTTCTCGATCTCAGTTTGTACCACGCCCACTGTTTCCAGGAACATGGCTTCCCTGACTTTCATCAGCCTGCAGCTGCGCTCGTAGAGCCCTTGGATGAAGGTAGCGGCCCGCTCGGCCTTCCGCGCACAGGCTCCGCCAAGGTACATCACCTTTCCCAACTCGACCATGGAGCCCATCGCTTTAAACGCGAATGCTGGATCAGAGCAAACGACTTGGAAGACAACGCGTCCCACGGACAGGATCTTTGGCAAGCTGATTGACATCTGCCTGTCAGCCTCACGCTGGAGGCTGCCCATGACCTGGCGAGCTCTTGCTGTGGCAACAGGTGTTGCATGCGAGACTTGTATCAGGGACACCAGGTCGAAGAGGTGGATGAGCTGCTGGGCTTGGAAGCGCATGGCGTCTTCGGGACCAGGCGGCGGCGCATAGTCCGTCATAAAGCAGAGCATGCTGCTGGTGAAGACCGTGCCATCGTGTGCCATTTTGAGAAGTTGCAACAGCGGCAATTAAAGTCAGTGACGGCTTAGCAAGTCAGTGGGTTACTTGCCAATTTGTTTCTATTGCCAGCTTGCTTCTAAGCTAGAGCATAGCCTCATTCTATCACCTGTTCTTTGTCATGCTTGCACTTCTGGTGGGAAGGTTGTTGTACCAGCCTTACGCAAAACTCTGGGGTTAAGAAATTACACATATTTAAACAATTCCTAGCCAAACCCCTGAGCCAAAGCCCGTACTTCTGACGGGCAAGCTTCAAGACGGCAGTGTGCTTGCTGCAGCAAGGGGGGTCACTACAGCAATCCTGGAAGCTCAAGATGGGAAGTTGATGCGTTGACCATACACTGCTATCGCGACTTTGCGCAAGGCACCGTATAGTAAAAGCTGGTTTCATTTTTAAAGCCAAACAGGACGACCGGCTTTAAACAGGACGACAGCCACACAATTGTCCGACTTGTTAGGCAAGGTGCCAAGCATCGCGCCGGTGGGGTAGCTTTCCTTGCATGGCGGCAAGCAAGCAATCAAAAGAGTCTGGATCGTGCTTGCTTCGCTCGAGAACAGACCGCTTCCGCAAATATACGGCTGTTTCCAATGCTGAGTGATCCCGCGCTGCCTTCTGCATCGATGCACGTAAAAAGCATGGAGCCGCTTTGTAGCATTGGCTGCAATCAAAGCTCGTAAAGGTGGTTGCTGATGCCCGGCACCTGGATCACCAGCGCCTGAGGCTCCGCTGCCTCCCAGGATGAGTCGGTAAGCCCTCATGCAAAAGGGTGTCTAGTCATCCTTACGATCAATCCGGATTCTGAAATTTGGGCCTCTTCTGGGGGAGCTTCCTCCGGATACATCTCCTCTGGCGCAAGCTCCTCTGGCGGAAGCTCCTCTGGAGGATACTCCTCGTAGAGCTCTTCTGGAGGCGGCTCCTGGCAGACCCAAACTTTACAGCTGAGTTGTGCAAAGGACCAAGCTCAACAGGGAAGCGACCAAACTGGCTGCTTGGAAGATCAACTTCATCTCAAGAATCCAACTTGGGCTGGCTCAGATTACCTTTGCTGCCTGAGTCCGGCTTCGATAAAGCCTCAGTGGCCATGTCCGAAACCCCCCTATGCCCTTCACTGCCCATATTTGGGATCCCTTCCTGAAGCCTGAACCATCCTTTCATGAAATCCAACACTGCGCCCTCTTTACTCCCCCATCTCAAACCTAAAAAAGGCCCTACATAAGCATTTGTCTGGGTTTAGTATTTGGGGAGGGGGAAAAAGGTAGGATCCCAGCCCCAAACTCCCAGAAGAATTTGGCCTGCGGCTCCAGGCCCTCTTCTTCCAGAGGTGCCTCAACCTGTATCAAGAGCTTTGCAGCTGAAGACTTTCATCAAACTTACTGGGGGTTAGTCGGGTATAAGGGAATATATTATATGGGGATTATCTACGGATGATATTTCTTTCATTCCCTACTAACCCCCAGTAAGGCTTTACAGGTGAAGACTTTCGTGAAATCGAGACTGAGGGTCAGGACTTTGCTCCTTGTATCTTTTGGGTGAAACGGACCATGTCTTTATATGGGGGTTTCCTATAATTGGGGGCTAACTATGTTCCATCAGTGGTACAGTCCTGGATGAGTAACAGTCCTGTTTCCTTGGCCAGGTTTGAACAGCTGTGCCATTTGATGTCGTGGGGATTTTATGGCCCCACTACCTGGTTTGCAGATCACTGTCCCTGATCTAGGGCACATCGGGGCCCCTACCACACGCCGAACTGCCGCAAAATCAAAGAAAAAATGTGTTTGAGAACCTATTTTACAAGAAAGACGGTCCACCTGACAACTACCTCTCAAATACGTCAACCGTTCTCATAAAGACTTCAAAACGTTGAAGACCTATGTTTTGGAAATTCACCATTGGGGGTTCCCTAAAAATTAGAAGTATCAACAAGGTACTTTAACATTTCGGGTTCTATGTTGGATCCGCAAATTTTCGGAAACTACCATATGTAGAATGTAGACTTGCCTCCTCCTCGATGGCGGCTGCAGTGCCTTCATCTGGGTTTGCTGCCTGCAGGGGTCAGGACAGCGTATCTGCAGACTAGACAGGTTATACAGGGTTATGTGGGGTCATATTAGGGACGTTACCCCGATGCTGGAAAATCACATGGAAAAGCAGTTGGAAAGTGATAGTGGACACTGCCATTTAGGGAATCTAGGGGTTCTGGCGCATCTCCCGTCATGTTACCATCTCTGCTTATCGCGGCAGTTGCTTGGCCTGATCCTCCACATTAAGCACCTGCGGTAATGTCTCTTTGTTCAATAAGTAGGGACCCCCAAGCTCCCTCCTTACTATTAGGGGCCCTGCAAAATCAAAAACAGGTGCCCTCCACAAGGCTCCCGCAGTTTTGAGGGCTCTGTAGACTGAGTCTAGCGGGATGGTATGGATTCTGTTAGGGCCTTCAAGCCGAAACCAGGGGGGTCTTCCAAACAATGGCCTGAAACTATCCGAAACTCTTTAACCCGCCCACGCCGAAACGCATCAAAGAGGGTCTGTGGGCTAAACTCCTAGTATCCCCTATAACACTCCCCTAGATCATCGCCTATATACCCCTATCAGGAGTTTCACATGAATTAATGCTACATTGCTAGCTTACTGTGAGGTCGCTCTCTGCTTTTACTTCGCGGCCTCGCTTCCAGCTGCATCCGGTGAGAGGGGAGGCTCCTCGCTTGCGCTTTCGAAGCTGAAGTCAATTCATTCAAAGGGCACAGCGCGTTCTGCTTTTGCGACTAGCCCACACACACACGCTCTCCTCCCCCGTAGCGGCTGCAGGTTCTGGTCCAGGGCCTGCTGCGAAATACTTACGTCCAAGTCGTTGAGAAGCGAAGAAGACATCGGGAAACCAAGGGTTTTGCGCAATCTTGCGTGCACTGACCAAAGCAGGCGGCCAAACGCTTGCAGAAAGCTTGGCAGCGCTTGCATGTGCAAGGATAAGTTAACAAGCATATGGGAGGGGCCACAGCTGGTCGGGTTGTGCTTGACGGGCTTCTTACTCGTAATTTTGCTGCAGCACGGACAGCTGCAGTTCTCCCTGCCTGGAGGATAAGCCGAACCAGGTGGACCTTCTATGCAAGTGTGGATTTCCTATGCAAATTGACCAACCATTGCATGTAGGGAGAAAGTTCAACTTCCCCACTGGGTGGATAATCGGGACCGTATTGATCTGGCATAGCACATGAGCGAATTCAGGAACGGCTGATTGGTTACAATCTTCAAAAACGCTGTTCGGTACACATAGACGGGAACACAACCTCTCAATGCTGAAGGAGCTACAGTGGGAGGCTTATCGTGTTCGCATGTTTCCGGGCGCGTGCTGACACGTACTCATCGCACCAACAGTTTCACACGCTTTGGCCGTGAAATCTTCATGAATATGCCAATGCCAACTACGGCTGGTTTCTTCATGGCCGTGCAGAGCTGAATCTACTCAAACATGTGGAGACCTCAGGACTTCCATATAAGTGTTGCCGCGTGTAGCGCTGGCAAGGGCAAACCCCCGCACCTTGAGGCGTGTTGGGTGAGTAAGGCGGACCCGGCGGCGGGCCATAGCCGTAGTTTCCTTGAGCAGACTCCGCGCGCAAATTCATGGAAAAGAAAATGGAGACTACTATCGTATATTGGGGTTCTATAGGGAGAATGGAAAAGAAACTGGAAACTACTATAGTATATTAGGGCAAACTTATGTTCGGAGGCATCACGCGCTAGGCCTTGGCTTGGCTGATGGCCGTGGTAGCTGCCGCGCGATGCATAGCCTTTTGCAAAGATGCCATGCGCTGTCTATAGCTGCTGTGTTCTCACATCACGAGGCTATCAAGCAAAATTGCAGGCTGAGTGCCTGCGAGAACTTTCCACTGTTTGCTTTTGCCCAACATCTGGCTCATCTCCAGTAGGTCTGCGCTGCCATTTTTGTCCCTCAGATACCTAACTGCTACGCACAGCAAAAGCCTGGTTGGTAATGTGCCGACGAGTAATGGCCGGGGCCTGCCACGGCTCGCGAAAACATGCAGCTTTGAAGAAGCTTGTCAAGTGGTGCAATCAACAGTTACCCCGAACCCCCCTGCCATCTCACCACTAAATCACCCCCTCCACCCCCACCATGTTAGGGTGTTGCCAAACATTGAGACGCAGATGGATAGCTGCTCTGAAAACACGTTAGCCAGAATTTGGCCATGTTCTCAACATGGTTGTCTCTTTTGGATCTTGCTCTGACTGGACAGCCCAGCCAGGCGACAAAACATGAAAGGGGAATCTGGGAACCCTGCATTGAACATTCAAGGTGCATGGGAGTTTACCAGCAAAACACGTTCTTTGAGCGCTGCGACCGATCTCGCCTGGAGGCTGCGCTGGGCCGTGTTGGCCTCAGGAGCTGGAAGTTACATCCAAGCAGCAGCCTCTGAATAGTGGAGCCAATTTACATTGCATATCCTGCCACAGTAGGAACTTCACCCGCTTTGGGTTCTGCTCCAGCCACTCACGGATGGTTGCTGCGGCTTTCAACTCCCATGCAGCCCAAGTGCCGCTGCCTGCGCTGGCAAACTCCTGTAGGCTGGTCCTGCCATTCCGAAGTGCATGCTATTTCGCTCGAGATTCACAAGCTCCTTGCTGTTGGGTCTAGCCTGCTGCCTCTGAAACAGGTCAAGGTTCTGTTGTCATGAACGCGCCTTCCGCTGCGCCTATGTTATGCTCACACGTCAGCGCAGCTCGCGCAACAATCATATGCGACACCCAATCAAGCCTCAACCGTCCACGTGGCACGACTGTGGGCGCAGCCATCAGCACTTCTTTGAATTCTGCGAACCCGGGCCTGTGCAAGGCAGTCGTAAACTACTACGAAGATGCTTGTCATGAGGCCTGGCAAGCATCAAGCCCGCAGAATAACTTGCTCAAACTTAGTACTAATAGATGTGCTTGCGCTGTACTGGTGAATTCGCAGCGACAACAACTTGTCGGGAGAAACCCGCCCTAGCTTGGAAACAGCAACACCTCGAACCTCGATCCACGGATTTGATCTGCACAAAAGTCTCAAGCACCAATAGCAACAACCAAAGAATCCCCATACAATCCGTAGCGGCCACTGATTATGTGGCGTGTTCCCTGCCACTTTACGAATGCCAGAGGCAAAATCCCCGTCGCTTCTGTCAGCCGCGATGCTTGTGACCCAGGGCATGGAAAGCGCTTGCATCTTCTGCCAAAGCCCAAGCTCGGACCATGGCATCTAAGGTCCCGGGGACATTTGCCCCACTCGGGGCCTCAGGGTTTCCCTTTGAAGCTGTGGTTGGAGGACTTTGGGCTTTTGCGTGATCATAGCTCGAGGTAACAGTGCTGATTTTTGGCTTCCATCTGCTCTCGCTTGTTGCTCAGACAAGGCTCATGTCAGACCACAGGTGGGGTGCCCTTCATCTTGAGCCTCACAAGAAAATCCCTCAGAGTGAAGCTGGGGGCAAGGCTGCTTGAGGTATTGCGAGCACAGCTGGATGCAGCATGTAGGCAAACGCTTTTGCTCATGAGCAAGGCCAAAAGCCCTCACAAAGCTGCCTTTGTGTCTGTGACTTGCGGGCTTTTGTCTGCTAAAACGATAACACACAAATCTACATTACTCTTGAACCTGCTGGCCAAGTGTGCAAGACTGATCAATTTCTTGGATCTCGAGTGATCGATATTACATGTTTGCTTTTGCGTGCCTGCGGTGGGCCATAAAAGAATTTCTGGGTGACACGAAGCTTCCCTCAGCGCGCTGCTAGGTTGCCCCCTGGCAGTGATGGGGCTGATGGGGCTATGCCAACCATGCATCTTTGAAGAGCTGACATGTCGTTTGCAGTTTCCGCCCTGCTACCATCTCTCAGCTTCTTCCCGACCACTTCTGCTCAGACTGGACTTTCGGAACCCTCCAGATCTTGCGGCCGAGAAGCTTCAGGAAAGTCGAGCCTGATCCATCATCACAGCGTTCAAGCGGCCACTCTTTGGCTGTAAGTGCGCGCATATTGATTTCTCGAAATGAAGCTTTCCAACTACTAGGGTCCCCAGTGCGCATCCCTAGTGTGTTACAACCCAGAAAGGGCAGCCCCCAGCTTTTCAATACCCCCAATCACTGGGGGCTCTGCTGTTGATCCAGATCTTGCAGAACCTCGATGAGTCGATGAACCTGCCAAGCATTCTCCAAGGAGTCTGGCAGCGTTGCATGCATAGTAGTTTCCATTCTCTTGTCCATTATCCCTATATAACCCCAATATACTATAGTAGTTTCCATTCTCTTTTCTCTTATCCCCATATAACCCCTACATAAGAACCCTATATAACCTTATAGAAGCCCTGTTCTAATACAGTAGTTTCCATTTCTTTTCCATTATCCCCATAATTCAACCCTAAACCCTGAACCCCAACTAGTAGTTTCCATTCTCTTTTCCATTCTCCCTTTATAACTCCAACATATTATAGTAGTTTCCGTGGTATTTTCCATTATCCCCATAGAACCCCTATATAAGACCCCTATATAAGACCCCTATATAACCCTATATATACCCTATTCCTAAGCCCTCTGTGCAAAGAGCCTCTGAACGAACCGCGCGACGGCCGTCCGATTCTTCTCGCAGGCCGGAGGCCACTCGCTCCTCCGCAGGGTATGCTCAAAAGAGTGATAGGGTAGTATTAGGGTTATATGGGGGTTTCTACAGGGGTGATATTAGGGTTATATTAGGTTTATGTTGGGATAATGGAAAACAAAATGGAAATTGCTATGTAACAGTGGTTCTATTCTTGGTAATGCTAAAGGACTACAGCAATAACAATAAATGGAATTGTAATGGGTTGTAGTAGCACTAATGTTGGCAATGGTAATAGCAACTTCTGACTGTAGCGCTAATGGTAATGACAACAGTAACAGTACAAGCAATGGTTAGAACCATGCTAACAACAACAGAATAGTGCAGTAGAGTTTCGGGGTTCAGGGGCCTGTCAAGAAGCAGCAAGAAGTTCCCCTTCCGGATCATCTTGGTGTGCATTTTCGGGCATGGCAGGGCAGCTGATGCGCGATTCAAAAGTCTGTATTTGACTTCTAGTATCCCGCTGAATAGCCCTTGTAGTAGTCCCGCATGTAATCCCCTAGATAAACACTCCTTCAAGCAGTTTAGACCCTAAAGCCTAAATAGTAGCTTCCATTTCCTTCGCCATCATGCGTATTTACTCCCCTAAACAACCTCTTTTTAGGAGCTTAAACCCTAAACCCTAAATCCCTAAACCCTGGAACCCT